ATAAAAATGTATTAAAACTAAACAACTCTTCTGGCATGCAGGCATACATACAGGCAGAACACTGTATAATAAATAAATAAATAAATCTTTAAAAAATGTTTAAAAAAAAAAAGCTGGGTGGTGGTGGTGCACGCCTATAATCCCAGCACTTGGGAGGCAGAGCCAGGCAGATCTCTGTGAATTTGAGGCCAGCCTGGTCTACAGAGCGAGATCCAGGACAGGCACCAAAACTACACAGAGAAACCCTGTCTCGAAAAAAACAAAAAGCAAACAAACAAACAAAAAATAAACAAAAATTAGGGGCTGGAGAGATGGCTCAAAGTTAAGAAGAACACATGTGATTCTTGTAGAGGACCCTGGTTTCATTCACCCACAGGGTGGCTTACAACCATCTGTGACTCCAGTCCCAGGGGTTCTAGTGCCTTCTTCTGACTTCTAAGAGCATCAGGCATGCACGGGCTGGACATGCAGGCAGGCAAAACACTCATATGAATAAGATCAATAAATCTTCAAAATTGTAAAGTAAGAAAGTGAAATGAGTAGTCTTTATAGATAAGGTAAAACTGGGTGTGGTGGCCCATGCCTTTAATCCCAGCACTCAGGAGGCCGAGGCAGATGGAGAGGTGTGAATTTGAGGCCAGCCTGGTCTACACAGTAAGTTCCAGGATAGCTGGCTTTACACAGTGAGAATCTTAAAGCAAAAAACCAAGGTAAAGAAATGAATGAAAAGGTTTTTAAAAATCCTAATTGGACTTTTATACCTAGTTAACTATGGTAGTGAAAAAATATAGATAGTCCCACTTGTTCCCTCAAGTCCTTCTTAAGCCACATTGAAAGGACTATTAAATGAGTCATAACTCCATAGGACTTAGTTGGCAGGGGCAAGATAGTAACAACTAATTTTTAGAGATAGCAAAGAGGATGGGACGCATTAGATGGAATGGCATTCACTCTTTTCAGGAGGAGCCCTGACAACTGAGAAGCACGCTGGCTGAAATCCTTGCAGGTGCTCTGAGAGTTAGAAGGATAGCCATGTTAGGTACCTACAGAAGTAGGAGGCAGTGATCGGACTGAACATGGGAAGCCAATATATCCACTTGAGAACTCATAATTGGGCACAGTGGCTCTCATGCCCTTGATCCCAGCACTTGGTAGGTTGAGGTGTGAAGGCCTAGACTTAACTTTACAGGCTCTATTTTAGGGAAAGGACCACCATCTCAGACCACCTGCTGTACTCAGTTCTAGGAAGGACCTCAGGAATATGCCATGATAACTCGAACGGATACAGAACAGTATCCTTCTGCAGACATCTTGTCTGCTGTTTAAAGGAAAGCTTAACAGGATCCAGATACTCCTGCAGACATCCTGTCTGCTGTTTATACTGGAAAGGAAAGCTTAACAAGATCCTGTCTGTGGTTTATGGCCCTTGGAGAGATCTAGATAATCTTTCTGAGCAGTCCAGATAATCCTGTTCAGTGGGTTGTGGTTCCCTGCCAAAAGTCTAATCCAATGGTTTCAAATGTGGTTTCGCACCCAAAGTCTAGACCAGTAGTTTCAAAGAATCACCTTGCCCCATACGCCTTCTACTCAATCCCAAGTTGCCAATTCCCAGCTTGTGTTTTTTCCCTATGAAAACTCTCTACACCTGGGCTCGTGGCTGCTGCCACATTTCCTTCCATCTGCCGTGTGGTGGCCCAGGTTAAACCTGAATAAAAGGACCCTATGTGCTTGCATAGGAAACTGGCTCCTTGGTGGTCTCTGGGAGTTTCGGAAATTGGTACAACAGAGACAGGAGTATTGGTAGTTCAAGGCTTACCTGAATTACAAGTGGGACAACCTAGGGTAAAAAGCAAGTGAGATGGAAAAAAAAGAGAGAGAGAGAAACAGAAGAAGAAAGAAAATTATCACTGCCCACAAGCTGCTGACTTTGTTCTAGAAGATAAAGTAGATGACAGTGTTTCTGGGGTGTGATCACCAGTGTATGACTAAGAGATGCTGTCTTGAAAACAAAGGGATTAGATTAGATAAGGGTTTACATATTTTCTCAGCAAGAGAGAGATTTTTGGAAAATTGTTTCCTGGAGTTTTAGTTCTAGGAAAAGTGAGAAAACAGCGTAAGCCAGGTGTGGTAGTATGTCCCTGTAATCCCAGGAATGAGGAGGCTAGAGAGTCCAAGTCAGCTTGAGGTACAGAGCAAACCCAAGGTCCACCTGGGCTGTACAGTGAGATGTTGTCTCAACAAAACAAACCAACCACCAAAAACCAAAATCTGGGGCTTTCGGATGGTTCAGCAGGTGAAACTGACTTCTTGTTCAATATCCAGGACACATATCATAGGGAGAACTGACTCCTACAAGTTGTCTTCTCACCTCCACATGTGAACCATGGCATCGGATCCCCATGTGCATGCACAGTTATGCACACAAATGTGCAAAATAAGTAATTTGTAAATGCAAAATAAGTAATTTGTAAAGCCTTAATCCACAATCCAAAGTACCAGTGTTGAGAACATGATGGAACTCTGAAGACATGCCTACATGGACTAAGTTTCCACTGAACCCCGAGCATGTGGAGCTGCCAGGAAAGCTCCACAGGCTGGAGGTGTCATTCAATGGGTACAGTGCTGGCCTAGGATTTTCGAGCTCAAAAGTTGGATCCCTTGTGAGCAGATATATTAGAGAAATGAATGTAGAATTGAAGAAATAGAGACAAAAAATAGGTAATTAAAGATGTGAATATGTGAATGGTGTCTTAATTTTGTGCATTGTTCTGAGACTGAGGAAAGGATGCTGGGAGAGAAAAGAGAAGCATCCTGTGGGCCCTTGAGTATTTGAAGGTCCACAAGACAGAGAACTGGTAAAAGAGGGAAACAAGGTGCATGCTATACCTGGGGGTCAGATAATGAAGCATATCATGAAGGAGGCCCAATTGCATACATCAAATCCGCTGGGAACTGAAAATGAAATGCTCCATTTAAGCACCATGGAGACCCGCTGAGGATGCAGTGGGATGGAGTTGGCTGGAGCACAGTGGGGGGCTGAGGTTTTGATACAGAAAGAGATTGAGCTTTGGACCTTCTCCAGAGTGGGTGTTTACAAACCAGAATGAAAACTCCAGGCTGCTAAAGGTTTAGAGAATACCCCTTTCCACAAGAAACTAAAGGGCAGAACTGTAAGAAAAGGATATGGGGATGAAGTATTTCCTGTGCAAAGACTGAGAAGTTAGAATATCATGTGATGTCTATGTAGCTAGCTACTGCTTACTCTATCGAGAGTGTAGGAGAAATATTTTTGCTATCAGGCAACACTCTTCAGTGCCTTAAATGTATTTCTGGTTATTTTTCTTTCTTCTCCAGAAAAAAGAAAGAAAAAAGAGAAACCAGTGGGCTGGCAAGATAGCTAGCTCAGTGGGTAAATATGTGAGTTTGATCATCCTGCATACAAATATATAAACAAAGAAAAACCATCAAAACAATTCAAGGGTCTACCTTAAAGGAACAGCACTAAACAGGAAAAGGCCCTTGCTACCAAGCCTAAAGACCTGAGTTAGATTCCCAGGACCCATGTGGTAGGAGTAAACTGACTCCTGCAAGCTGGTCATCCTGAGACTTTCCTGGTTGCTTGTTATCATGGTGCATGTACAGACAGACCCACACCCTTCACATCCAGATTTTAGGAAGCATGAGAATTTGTCACTTTGGTCTTCTTTAGTCATTAGCCACCCCAAAGCAACAGGCTCCCAAAGAACACATTTCTGTATCTTCAGTGATGCCTGTACATCATTGAATTCATTAGACATTTGTTTCAGAGTGTGAAACTTTACACCTCATAATTACCTGTGTGTTGGAAGATATGCTTGTGCTTTGGGCTGCTAGCACTATCCCTCTGTCCCAGGGCCTTTGCCCACACGACAGCACAACCTACTTACTCACTCTGTCCAGGCAGGAATCACATGCCACTGTGTGCTTAATATATTTAACTCATTAAAGAAGTGCAAATGAAAATATCAGCAAGACACCACCCTTTACCTGGTAGGCTGGACACAAAGCTTAAACTCTCATAATCAAGTCCTAGTAAGGATATGGACAAGTGGCACTTTTATATTCCACTCAGGGTGATGTTAACTGGACTGGTTCATGGAAATGCCACTTCAGAAAATGGCCTCAGTCTCTTTTCTTCACTTGGACATGTATTGAACATGCGCTTATGTTACAACCCAGGATCTCACTCCAGTTTTTTACCAAAGAGAAATGTCGATCTATGTCTATCCAAATACCTGCATGTGAATGTTCCTGGCAGTTTTATTCCTAGTTACCCAAAATAGGAACCAATCTAAATGTCTTTCACCATATGAAGAGGTGATCTATGGTATATCTCAAAATGGAATGTTAATCAACAATCAGAAGGAGCAGACTCCCAATGTACACACTCTTATGGATGAATCTCAAGTGTGTTTGTTAAGTAAAAGAAGCTGGGCAGAAAGGCTGATTACTAGAATTCAGTTTATAAGAGGTACTGGAAGAGGCAGACCTGTGGGGACAGAGCACAAAGGAATGGGGCTAACTGTGAAAGGGGTGCTCTTTAGACTGGTGGAACCGAGCCCTGCTTGGTTTGGGGGCATGAATGGTGACTGTTACATGACTCTGCATTTCTTAGACCTGAAGGGGTGAAACTTTCTTGTATGCAGATTCCATCCTCAATAAACAATCAAAATCAGCACTTGAAATCTTCCTCATTATCTTGCTTGCTTCATAAAATCCTTCACAGGATCACCGCAGATATACATCATTTCTTGTTGGGCTTTCAGTGTGAAGAATCAAATGTCTGACCTTTCTTGACTGATTGTCTTTTTCCATTCTATCAAATTCTCAACCATTTTTCAATCTTAATTACTTTACTGAGAATTCCTAAAGTTTAAGCACAGGTAATTTGCAATAAGGCTAAAAACTATGATGATGAAATGAAGCTCATGTTGACACAATTACTCTTACTTTCTCCACAGACAGCAGAGAGTGCCTTGCAGACGATTGTAGTATAATTGCTGGAGGGAACCTCACTGGTTGGCACCCAGACTCCGCCGCTGTGTTATGGCGAAGAGTCTTGGGAATCCTTGGGGATGTGAATAATATCCAGTCACCGAAGATCCATGCCAGAGTTTTTGGCTATCTCTATGAACTGTGGTACAAACTGGCCAAGGTGTGTTATTCTGTTACCTTTTATACTAATCCAGAAAAATGAACATACGTCATATAACATACAAACTATTGACCATCTTCTGAAATGCAGACTATGCATTTAGATGAAGTGCATTTGATTGCCCAAGAGTAAGTCATAATATCTGTAGTTTTAATACTTTATTCAATGCCTAAGAGTTATTTCATTTAGTACCAAAGTATATTAATAGAAGATATTAAGAATAGGATATTATGTGGTTTCATTATTCATTTTAGCAAAGTGATACATTTTGATTGTGCAAAGTTGGGAGAATATAGAAAAGCATGAAGGTATTTATATCCACATTTTATAGAATAACTAATATTAATATCTAAAATATATCTGTTTCCATGGATAAAGACATTTTACTAAATAAACTCTTAGAGTATACAGTTTTCATCCTGTCTTTTGTTTTGATACTAAATATATATTTTCCATCATTAAATATTTTTCCAAAACATGACTTACATTCATATAGCTTAATTTATGAAATCATTTCTTACTATTTGGCATTCAGGACCTCCCTAGGTATTCACATGTTAGGAAAAGCAATACCATTCTTTTGTGTTTAAAGCTACAACTACATGCAATAAGCCAGACACAATCCAAAAGGAAAAGAAACCTCATAATAAAAGAAAAACCTGTAAATACTATAGATTTCTCATTTCACATGTAAAAAATGGAAGTGGTTTCTTGGCAATGCAAGACAATATTTCTATGTAGTTGTAATAAGTAGAATGTTCCCTTGCCTAAAATTCTCTTTTGAATTAGATACGAGATAATCTAGCAATAAGCCTGGATAACCAGTCGTCTCCATCTCCTCCGCTCTTGATCCCACCACTCAGAATGTTTGCATCATGGCTATTCAAGGCAAGTGTTTATTCTTTTATTGCAATTTCCTCTTCCCTTCTGAAATTGAGTTTAAAAACTGTAATTGCCCAAGACTGCATGTTTTGAAGACAGGCTGGGTCTTACTACAGCCAGCACATCCCACATCTCCAAACAACTCTTCAGGAAAACTGAGAAGTAAATGAAATGTTGAAATGCTCTGCATCTGGACTTGATTTAATCTAGAAACATCATCTCCTTGGCAGGCTACGACTCTGCCAAATGAATATAAGGAAGGCAAACTGCAAGCCTACAAACTGATCTGCGCCATGATGACCAGACGCCAGGATGTTCTGCCAAACTCAGATTTCCTGGTGCATTTCTACCTTGTGATGCACCTGGGATTAACCAGCGAGGACCAGGTATCCTGTGACTCCTTTATCATGGTGTACCATGACGAGAAACAGCTTGCCACACTTTACATGTATCAGGGCTTGGGAAAATATACCAGAAATGCTTTAATCCTCAGTGGCTTCTACTTGTCACACATACGGTTTATCATATTGTTGCTTCTTCCCCTCACTGACTCTGCATGCACCAACTAAATATGAATTTTATGCTGCAACCCATATGATCCACTCTCTGCCTTTGTTATCAGCTTCAAACTGCCATATCAGCTATTTTTCCTCTGTGGTTCTGGCCAATTTAAAAGTATTTGGAGATATATGTTCTAGTAGTTGGGTTCTAGTTGTGAGGCACAGTCTCCTATGAATTAAGGATCTTGACATTTCTTGATGTGGGGTTACTTTTATTTCTTCCAAAGAAATAGAAGTTTTTGTTTGGTAGGAACAAAAAGACCCAAGGCCTTCACAAAGCTCCAATCCCCTCTTTGTAGATCCTGGATTTAGGATTATAGGATGTGGCCAGTACCTGGTCTGCCTCCCTTGGGAAGTCCCTTAGCACTTGTGAGAGATAGGAAGAGGGATGCAGATAGGCATATGGACTTTTGAAAACTGTTCTTTTTATATTTACTTATTTCTTTTGCGTGTAGGGGTGTAGGAGTGTGGGCACATGAGTGGTACACTCAAGTATGGAGGTCAGAGGGCAACTTGCAGCAGTCAGTTCTCCTTCTGCTATGTGGGTCCTGGGGATTATACTCAGGTCACCAGATTTAGCGGCAAGCTTGACATTTACTTTTTCATTTTTCTTTCAAATGTGCTTGAATCTTTCCAGTGCTTGGGAAGTCGTCACTGTATTCTCTGGTTCCCTGGTACAGACTTTGAACTGTATTCATTGAGCTTTGTTCTGATCCATCAGCATACGGTCCCAATGAGTTGTTCTTGTCATGGTTCCTCTGACCAGCATTGAAAGACATTGATAATAGCAGCTGAGCTTGGACTGTGGCTTCATTTATTTTTTTTTCAATAGATGTTTAACTAGGGACATTAAGTACAGCCACTTGCATTCTCTGCCTGACTATTTCCAGCTGCCCCTGCAGATGGGGAAGCACCTCCTACAGAATGATGCAGTGCAGGGCATATGGGAGATTGAGAGGTGTAAACAGCAAAGACAGTCAACTTCAAAGATTGTAGTGAGCTCCCTCAGTGTAGGGAGGCTGACTTTATGTCAAAGTCGTGTTCTGATAAGATTTTTCATGGAAAAAATATGATTTGGAAATAATGATCAACTGTAGGATTTCTTGATATAATAAAAACAAATCTGGAGTCAGTACAAAGCAAGTTAGTTCTTAGCAAGTTTTTTAGAAAGTCCCATAAAGAAGTGTGAGTTTAAAATCATCTTTCTGTTTGAAGGTGTGTTGATGTAAAAATGAAACAATAAAATAAGAAATAAGGATTATAATATTTAAGAACTCTAAGTAGTATGAGTATTTTTACGAGTCTTTTAAAAAATATTTTACATTCAGGAAAAATGTTGAAATTATATACTTAAAATTATCTTCACATTTTAACGTACATCATATTTTCAGTTAAATGAAGACAGTGATCTTTTGTAGATTTGTTATAAAACAGTGCAAATCTTAAAAGACAGTCCAATGCCAGCAGCAATACCATCATTGCAGACCTTAGAACAGAATGGGGATATCATACATCTCTATTCTATAATCAACCTATTGTGTAGGCCAGTAGGAGCCTGGATTTTTATGTGGCTTTAATAGAATTAACTATTTTCCTTTAACCTTAATAATTATTAGTATATATTTCAGAAGCCCTGACTGTCTGCCAAACAGAATTACCCTAAGTGGACTTCATTTCTTCTCCAGAAGAAACTTACAGAGTCCTTCTAATGAAAGAAACCTTTCTCGTTTCAGTAAGAAATGTCTCTGGGTAATTAGTTTAACTTTTGGCCCACATGTCTAAATAGATCATGGTGGTTGTTTTAGAACTTATATGTACTTCTTGAAACACATACTATATTCATTATAAAAAAGAAAAGAAAACATTTGCCACAGAGAATACAGTTAAATCCAATTTTTTAATTGTTAAGCCAAGCACCTGTGGCTGGTACCATGTCAAGGCTTTTTCCATTGTATGAGAGTCGCAAAGAAATACATTTCCATGTTAAGGATTTGCTTATGAAGAAGGAAAAGTCTAAAAACTATCTTTTGTTTTAAAAATAAGTAATAGCAACTGTATATGTGTATTTTAATTTAACCTTTACTAGTTTTGTTTTACAAATAAAACACAAGATGTGTTTTCTTCTTTGGCCTCTGGGTGTCACCCTTGTCTGCTCAACCTAGCCATGAGGTTTAAAACTGCCAGAAGAGCCAGAACCCTGTGAGTGATAGTGTGTACAAGGTGGTGTTTTACAAAATGCTGTCCTGAATCTGAGAGTGTCGGGATTATGGCCATAGTGCTCAATAAGATACAGAGATAAACAAACACTAAGAATTAAATATCTTTTCAAATATAATGACGCTTGATGTAATTGAGACATTCAAGTGTAAAAATTATTCAAAAATATCTATCTCATAAATTGCCCTCTGTTCTCGTGTACAATCATGTAAAAGCATGGCTTTACCTAATATGATACCAAATTTGTTATGTAAGCCAAACACCCAGAATGCCAAATGTCGTGCTTCTAAAAGAACAATTGTAATAGTGCTGGCTTTCTTACTACCTTATTTAATATCTGGCACAATGACCTTATCAGATAGCCTTCCTCTCCCAGTATAAAGGTAGTGTGGGTTTTAGTTTGTTTGCATGATTGAAAAAAATCCATAAAACGGTGGTTTGTTGTTTTTTGGTTTTGTTGTTGTTGTTTTGTTTTTTTTTTTCCTTCTCTGTAATAGCGTTTTTTCCCCCCTATTTATTTTTAAGACAAGGTCTCACTATGTAGCCTTGGCTGTCCTGGAATTTACTATGTAGATCATGCTGGTCTCAAACTCATAGAAAATTGCCTACCTCCCAGATGCTGGGATTAAAGGCATGTACCACCATGCCTGGCCCTGGATTTTTTAAAAACAGTATTAATCTTGTTACCAGTTCAAAAATAATTAGGAACATAAGAACCTTCACAATAATGACCAATAATGAACTCTGTGTGACTTGCAGGATTACTCAGCCTTTGAAGGATCTTCCTTTTGGCCTCCTTTGCTCAGCTGCGTTGTGCCTGGTGTCTTGGAGTGGGGGTAGAGGTAGAGTTGGAGGATGCTTGTTTCTCCTAGATCCACAATGGCAGACTCTGTACCAGGAACAGTGTGATGTGCCACTGATTCTTCTCTACAGTTCACTTGGATAAATATCACATCCTAATTTATGAGTTATGAAGGTTCAAAACATCTTGAGAATTTTTCCAAATGCTACATATTCAAAAGGTTGTTAGAATTCAAGGAAAGGCTTGACTTACCCATTGGGCATGTCTTTTCCATTGATTGACAACTAACATGTTGCTCAGACACTCCTTGACCTTATTCCTCCCTGGTTTTCTTTTGCCTGGCTGTAGTCCTTTCCACTTGACACTCATTAGAGTCCACCTCTGACCTGTAGTTACCTTCCCAAGTCGTTGTCTTCCTAGCTCTCTCTTACGTTTTGGTTTCTCTTCTAAAGCTGTTCTTGGTTGTTCTTAGTTTGTCTTAATGTTTAAGCAGCTTTTTCACCTCAGTCTTCCCCAAAATATTTTGACATGAAAGCAGCTATGATTTGGATTTATTAAAAACATTTCCTATTAATTTCATGATTATTTAAAACATATGGAAAGATCAATACGTGTGAAATGGAAAAGGACAGTTGAGGAAAAGAATTTTATTTTCATGTTTGTAAGAACATATATCAAAGACTGGAAAGTTTTCTTTTCTTAAAATAAGTCAACTATTTTTTAACAATGACTTACAGATTTACCGTCTTAATGTAATTTAATTTGTCTGTTATACATCAAAGTTAAGTTCTCTTTTAAATGCAAAGCTTACAGTAATACAAAGTCATTGTTGCAAATTTGCATATAGAAATTTCGGGAAATGTGGACCTTTGTCATTGTTGTCTATAAGGTTATATTATCGTATTTTCTAAGACAGCAAGAGAAAAAAGCATAAAGCTCTCCTCAGGTAAAGAAGGCTATGTAGTTCTGCTCTAGAATAACCATTGACATTCAAATTTTAACCATATCAACATAATGTTACGAAATGGTAGAATATAATGTGAGGAAGTGTAGCAGTAAAGAGCCTTCAGTGGAACTGAGTTCTAGTCTTGGCCTTCATTTCTTAGCCAAGTTCTTTGGTCTCATCATGCCCTGGTTCCATATGTGTAAGAAGAGCATAATTATAGAGAATTACTTCTCTTGGTAAGCATGAGCCCTTATGCGAATGAACACCAAGGACAATGAAGACAGTAGCACCAAGAACCTCATGTATTTCATTTTTCCAATAATTGAAAGTGCTGCATTTGTTATCCGTCTGTCATATTACTTTTTAATATAATGTTTTGACTGAAAAACATGCACTATGAAATTTTACAAGTGGAGAAATATCTACTCCTTGAGGGCCTGTGGTCATTGGCTCACTCTTTATACTTGCTTCTCACCTAACTCAATGAAGGATGATGAAAAACTGAAGTCTGCATGGGCCAGACTCCTGTAACTGGATTGGCGTAGCACCGGAAAGACATGAGGAGTAATGGGTTGACATCTTGAAGGAACTCTCCTGTCTGTGGAGGCTCTGCCTTAGTCACTAGCATCACTGCAGGCAACTGGATCTCAGCCAGTGCCAGCCTTTTCAGGGTGTAGCTGGGTGTGTCTGCTTGCCCCCCTTTCCTTGACTGTTGAGATTCATACTTGGCTCTTTGGCATTTCTGGAAATTCTGTAAGGCAGCTGACAGTGCTATCAATTCTTCTCCTCGAACCTCCTGAAAAGTGGATTCTGTTGTCTGCAAGTAAGATCCTGGCATAAGCAGTGACTGCTCCATGGTGC